AAAAAAAAAAAAAAAAAAAGAAAAAGAAAATCCTGCATTTCAATACAGGCTTTTAGGGCCAGGTGTGGTGGCACATGCCTCTAATCCTAGCACTCAGGAGGCTGAGGCAATAGGATCGCCGTGAGTTCAATGCCTGCCCGGACTGCACAGTGAGACTCTGTCTCAAAAATCCCAAAAAACAAAGCGTCCTAGGACTCCTTCAGCTGAAAGCCCTTCCCCAGAGCCCTGCAAGTGGGCTTCTAACACTGCTGGCAGGCAGAGGAGTAGTGAGGACAGGCTTCAGGTTTTGAGTCACTCGTCTGCCCCCTGCCCCTGCACCCAGTGCTGCATGGTGCACAGTGTCCCGCTGAATGAGCAACTGAATGACAGAGTCAGAGCAAGCCTGAGTGAATGCAGGCTGAGTCAGGAGGCTGCCCTGTGACAATGCCAACCAGTTCTTGCCCCAGTAGTCACTGGGGCAGTCCAGGCTGGTTTCCCTGGAAAGAGTGAGAATCGAGTCAGACTGGTCCTGAATTTCCAGGAAGATTAACATCCTGCTGGGCCAGCCTGTGCCATGCCAGCTGCTGTCACCTGCAGGAGGACATGTGGCTTGCAAGCTCAGGGGGCCAGCCGCCTAGACTGAGCATGTAAGGCCAGGAGGAGGGGTCATGAAGGCTGGATCCACACGACCCTGGGAAATGCTTCAGGGTTGGGGGACGCACTTGTCCCTGCAGTCCCTGCCCCATGAGGATGACAGTGCCCTGCAGGACTTAGGCATCTCCAACCTCCTTGGCCTCTTTACACCTGCAGCAAAGCAGGCAGCAGAGGAAACCTGGGCAGAGGCGACCCCAGCTACCTGAGCAGAAGACCACTACGCTCACATGGCACAAAATTAAAGGCCCTCGTTGTAAACCCAAGTGTCAGCGTCAGACTTCAGGCTCACACCAAGTAAGCCACAAGACTTAAGAGGCAACCACAGGGCTCTGTGGGGCGTGGCTGTGGCCAGTTTGATGGTTACGGGGGCCACGGGGGCTCTTTCTTGCTTTAATTTGCCCTCACATTAAAAATCTGGTTAGTCAGACTCAGATGAACACTCATGGTGGCCTCCCTGGCGTGGTACAGCCCTGCTGCAACAAAAGCACTAAGCCCAGAACCACTTCCACTGAATTCCCCGTGAGACGGCTCTGGACAGCTCCACGATGCTCTTGTAGCTGCTGTGGTGGCACATACCTGCTAGCCAGCACTCAGGAGGCCGAGGCAGGAGGAGCATCATGAGTTCAAGGCCAGCCTGAACTACCAAAAAAAACAAGAAAACTGCCCCCATAGCAGAAATCTGACAGCCAAAAGAAATTAAAACATAAGGTCAACAATGAAGTTTTTCCTCAAGTCCAACCAAACATTAAAGAAGGTACAATCCCCATGTTCTTTCTTTTCTGAGATAGGATCTCCCTGAGTAGTCCAGGCTGCCCTCAAACTTGCAGCGAGCCGCCTGCCCA